GAAACGGGTTTTCAGTATAGAAAGACAACCTACAGAATGGGACAAGACATTTGTGAACCATGCATCTGATAAGGGTTAATATCCAAAATTTATAAAGGATTCATACAATTCAATGACCAAAAACATCCCCTAAACAATCTGATTAAAAAATGGGCAGAGGAACTAAAGAGATGTTTTTCCAAAGAAGACATCCAAATGGTCAACACGTACATGAAAAGATGCCCAGTGTCACTCATTGTCAGGGAAATGCAAACCAAAATAACGATGAGATATCAGCTCACACCTGTAAAAATGGCTAGTATCAAAAAGACAAGAGATAACAAGTGTTGGTGAGGATGGGGGGGAAAGGGAACACTTGCACACTGTTGGTGGGAATGGGAATTGGTTCAACCACAGTGGAGGTTCTTCAAGAAAATTCAAAATACAATATGATTTAGCAGTTCCGTTTCTGGGTATATACCCAAGAGAAATGAAGAGGATACTGAAGAGGTATACACAATCCCAGTGTTTATTGTAACATTATTAACAGTAGTCAAGATATAGAAACAAGCTATGTGCCTGTCAACAGATGAATGGGTAAAGAACCCCTCCCCCCCACACAGTAGAATATTATTCTACATGAGAAAGAAGGAAATCCTGCCATTGTTGACCACAAGGATGGACCTTGAGGACATTATGCTAAGTGAAATAAGTCAGGGGAAGACTCATACTGTATAATATCACTTATTTGTGGAATATAAAAATGCCAAACTCATGTAAACACAGTAAAAAGTTGGCAACCAGGGCTTGGGGGTGGTGTGGGGGAATAGGAGAGAGGCTATTTAAGGGTACAAACTTGCTAGTTGCAGATAAATAAGTCCCGGAGATCTAATCAGATGGTATAGTGAATATAGACAACAATATTGCATGTGTTTATCAAGCTTGCTAGGGGACTAGATCTTAATTGTTTCTATCATAAACAAGAAATCATAATTATGTGACATGATAGAGGTGCTAAATACAACGGCAATCATGTTATAGTATGTAAGTGTATCCAGTCACCATGTTGAATGCCTTAAACTTACATAATATTATGTCAAATACATTTCAATAAAAAAGGCGTATTCCGTACACTTGGCATACAGCCCCCAAAGTGCAGAAATCCAGGGCCCTCGTTCTCCTCCTGAACTGTGACCCTGACAGTTCTCCAGGAGCTCAGCATCCCGGCCATCTCCCAGTCCCCAGACACACCAGCCACCATGGCGGAGTCACATACTGTCCTTACCCCAGCTTTGGGACCCTCAGTAGATGGGTGTTAGTCCGGTGACAGGAGCAGTGGGAATGCAATCACTCTGAGGTTGAAGAATGTCCTTCAGCGTGCACAAATGTTTGTTGTGCCTCTGCTTCGCGTCAGACTAGTGCGATACACTTTTATGTTTATCCCACTGAGTCCTTGTGATCTTGTGAGATAGGAATTCCCTTCTCCATTTAAGAGATGAGGAGACCAAGGCTCCCAGGGGCAAAGGACACAGCTAGAGGGGCCCGAGCAGCTCTAGAATCTCCACCCTTTGGCGTCAAGGGTAGTTCGTGTCCATCACCTTGTATGTTACTGCGGTGTTCAGGTGCTTAAACGTTTGCTCTGCTTCCTTTTTCCTTTGCAATCTGCATTGTGGACTGTGTCCCTTGTGTCCTTGAGTGTAGAGCCTGCTGCTGGGAGGAGCTGGGAGACCGTGACCTCGTTGGAGCCTGGGTAGGGTTCCAGGGAGAGTGACAGGTTCAGCAAATAAAAACGCGAGATGCCCAGTTAGAGTTGAATTTGAATTTCCAAGGAACAGTGAGTACTTTCTTTTTTTTTTAAAAAATATTTTATTTTTTTATTTGAGAGCAAGAGATCACAAGTAGGCGGAGAGTCAGGCACAGAGAAAGGAGGAAGTAGGCTCCTCATGGAGCAGAGAGCCCGATGTGGGACTTGATCCCAGGACCCTGAGATCATGACCTGAGCCATCCAGGCGCCCCGAGTACTTTCATTTTAATATAACTATGTCCTATACGATCTTTAGGATATACTTATGCTAAAACAGTATTCCCTTGTTTATTTAAAATTCAGATTTAACTCTGGTTCCCGTGAAGCTTGCGGCTGGTCTAACGCTGAAGAAGTCTCCGTTCGCAGAGGCCGGGACTCGATGACGCTTTGCTCATGGGCTCTGCGGGCTCCCCAAGCTCTTTCCGAAGGCTCCACCATCGCCACTCGAGCTTTCAAACTGGCCACTTCGGCAAAATCTAACCAGCTGTGTTTTGTCTGGCTGATGTGATGTTGATTAAAAAAAAAAAAAGATTTATTTATTTATTTGAGGTGGGTGGGGGTTGGTGGGCAGAGCACGGGAGATAGTCTCAAGAAGACTTGCCAGTGAGCGTGGAGCCCAGCGTGGGGCTCGACCTCACGACCCTGAGATCACGACCTGAGCCAAAATCAAGAGTCAGAGCGTTAACCAATGGAGCCCCGCAGGTGCCCTGGGCATGATGCTGATTTTTAAAAAACTGGTCAATTTTTGAAAACCAGGAGTTTCTACGTGCCCATCTAAATGACATCCTTTTAAAATTGTGTTTTAATTCCCGCGTAGTTAACAGTCAGTGTTGGTTTCAGGTGTACAGGGTAGTGATGCAACAGTTCTGTAACAACCTGTGCTCGTCCTAAGTGCGAATCCTTAATCCCCACCACCCGTGTCGCCCACCCCTCTGCCCGCATCCCCTCCAGTAACCGTCCGTTTGTTCTCTATAGTTAAGAGTCTGTTTCTTGGTTTGACTCTCTTTTTTCCCCGTTTCTTGTTTGTTTTGTTTCTTAAATTTCACGTATGAGCGAAATCATATGGTATTTGTCTTTCTCAGACAGACTGATTTCGCTTAGCTCCATACTCTCTAGCTCCATCCATGTTGTTGCAAATGGCAAGATTTCATTCTTTTTATGGCTGAGTAATGCTCTGTTGTATGTACACACCGCATCTCCTTTACCCATTCGTCTGTTGATGGATGCTCGGGCTGCTTCCATAACTTGGCTATTGTAAGTAATGCTGCTAAAAGCTCAGGGGTGCATGTATCTCTGAATTCGTGTTTTTGTATTTTTTTTGGTAAATACCCAGTAGTGTGATTACTGGATTGTAGGGTATTTCCATATTTAACTTTTAAAAAATTATTATTTATTTAAACAAAAGATTTTAAAAGTAATCTCTACACCCAACGTGGGGCTCAAACTCACAACCCTGAGATCAGGAGTCGCATGTTCTACCCACGGATCCAGCCAGGTACCCACCCCCACCAACCTTTTTTTTTTTTTTTTGAAGACAGGCGCCCCCTTGGGGTGCTTGGTTGGCTCATTCGGTTAAGTGTCCAACTCTTAATTTTGGCTCAGGTCATGGTCTCAGAGTCATGAGATCGAGGCCTGCCTAGGATTCTGGGCTGAGTGTGGAGCCTGCTTAAGATTCTGTCTCCCTAGGGGCACCTGGGTGCCTCAGTGTGTTAAAGCTTCTGCCTTCGGCTCGGGTCATGATCCCAGGGTCCTGGGATCGAGCCCCGCATGGGCTCTCTGCTCAGTGGGGAGCCTGCTTTTCCTCCTCTCTCTCTGCCTGCCTCTCTGCCTGCTTGTGATCTCTGTCAAATAAATAAATAAATAAATCTTTAAAAAAAAAAAAAGATTCTCTGTCTCCCTCTACCCCCTGCCCCCACCCCCGCTTGCGCGTGCACACGCGCACTCTCTCTTCCTCAAAAAAAAAAAAAAAAAATTAAAGGGGTGCCTGGGTGGCTCAGTGGGTTAAGCCGCTGCCTTTGGCTCAGGTCATGATCTTAGGGTCCTGGGATCGAGCCCTGCATTGGGCTCCCTGCTCAGCGGAGAGCCTGCTTCTCCCTCTCCCTCTCCCTCTCCCTCTGCCTACTTGTGATCTCTCTCTTTCTGTCAGATAAATAAATAAAATCTTAAAAAAAATTAAAGACAGGCACCCCCTATTTTTTTTAAGATTTTATTTATTTATTTGACAGACGGAGATCACAGACAAGCAGGCAGAGAGAGAGGAGGAAGCAGGCTCCCTGCTGAGCAGAGAGCCCCATGCCGGGGCCGATCCCAGGACCCTGGGATCATGACCTGAGCTGCAGGCAGAGGCTTTAACCCACTGAGCCACCCAGGCGCCCCGACAGGCACCCCCTATTTTTAACTTTCTGAGGAATCTCTGTACACTTTCCACAGTGGCTACACATCCTCGCCAATACTTGCTGTATTTTGTGTTGTTGATTTCAGCCGTTCTGACACGTGTGAGGTGGCATCTCCTGTAGTTTTGATTTGGAGCTCCCTGGTGATCAGTGATGTTGAGCACCTTTTCCTGTGTCTGTTGGCCATCGGGATGTCTTCTTTGAACAAATGTCTGTTCATTTGTTTGCCCATTTTTAATTGGATGATTTGTTTCCTAGATGTTGGGTTGTTCTTCATATATTTTGGATACTAATCCTTTATTGAATATGTCATTTGCAGATATCTTCTCCCATTCAGTAGGTTGCCTTTTAGTTTCTTTGATTATTTCCTTCACCGTGCAGAAGCTGTTTATTTTGACATAGTCCCAATAGCTTATTTTTGCTTGTGTTTCCCTTGCCTCAGGAGACACACCTAGAAAAATGTTGCTATGGCCAGTGTCAGAGAATTTACTGCCTGTGCTCTCTTCTAGGACTTTCATGGTTTCAGGTTTTTAGGTCTTTCATCCATTTTAAGTTTATTTTTTATGTATGGTATAAAAATAATCAGTTTTCCAAACACCCGTTGTTGAAGAGACTTTTTCCCATTGGATATTCTTTCCTGTTTTGTCAGAGGTTAATTGACTGTATAATCGTGGGTTTATTTCTGGGTTTTTGTGTCTACTTTTGTGCCAGTACCATACTATTTTGATTCCTACAGCTTTGTCATGTAACTTGAAGTCTGGAATTGTGATGCCTCCAGCTTTGCTTTTCTTTTTCAAAACTGCTTTGGCAAATTCAGAGTCTTTAAAAATATGGAATGCTTCGTGAATTTGCATGTCATCCTTGGGCAAGGGCCAAGCTAATCTCTGAATCACTCCAATTTTAGTATATATGCTGCTGAAGTGAGCACTAAATTCCTGACTTTTTTTTAGTTTCAAGTTTTTATTTAAGTTCAAATTAGTTAACATATATGGCAAAATTGGTTTCAGGTGTAGAATTCAGTAATTCATCCCTTACATATAATACCCAGCACTCATCACAGGTGCCCTCCTTGACACCCATCACCCATTTAACCCATTCTGCATCCCCCCAAAATCAAATCTGCCATCTTGAGCCCCCAAGACCACATGGCATGCACTTGCCGGTTAGCCCCACTCCCATCCCCATCCCTCCCTGTGGTTGCCTCCTGCCCACCTGATTCACTTCTATCTGTCCAGCCCCAGCAAGCATTGAGGTTTTTTTTTTTTTTTTTTTTTAATATTTTATTTATTTATTTATTTGACAGAGAGAGAGAGAGAGAGAGAGAGATAGATCACAAGTAGGCAGAGAGGCAGGCCGGGGGTGGGGAAGCAGGCTCCCCACTGAGCAGAGAGCCCGATGCAGGGCTCAATTCCAGGACCCTGAGACCATGACCTGAGCCAAAGGCAGAGGCTTTAATCCACTGAGCCACCCAGGCGCCCAGGCATTGACTTTTTGACTCCTGATCTATACTATGTGCCAAAAAGTCTACTTCTTCCAGTGACAACAAAAATACCAAGCGTTTTCATTGGACTGCCTCCACCCATTTCTCCCATTTTATCCCATCTCCCTCCCTGTCCCCTCCCTCAGTGCTTGTGGTGACCATGCACTGGCTGTTGGTTGTCCCCTCCTCCCAAGCAATGCCAGCGTGACCCCAGAAGGCCTGGCCACGGGCATGGCTCCCTTCGAGATGGCCTTACGAAGCCCTCCCGATTCCCCGAATCCCTCTGTCGCACACAGAATCACACTGCCGCTTAGTTGAATTTCTTCATTGTATACAGATTAAGAAATGGAAAATGTGACACTCGAGAATCACATGCAATGAAAACTGTGTAAAACTGTGACTAGAACTCAGGCAACAGGGACGTGGGAATTTCTCACCAAACCACGTGCTGTGTGTGAGGATCTTGCCTCAGTGCCTCTCACGTCTCCACCACAGGGCATCGTGCCATATGCGAGATGAGCTCTCGGACTGATTGATTGATTACTCACTCGGCGCTCCTGGCAAAGCAGTCCTCACTCTGTTGAACAAATTATCTTTACGCATTGCAGTCTCTAGAGCTGAGACGACGGGGAGCTCCCTGGGATCTTTAAGTCATTCAGCAACGTCTTGGAACCACTGGACATGATACAAGGATCCAGGAAAAATGGTCCCTTTTGGCACGTGGAAAGGAAGGGGGACAAAGCAGGAACTCCGACCCACCGTACTAAGGATCTTAGTTTTATTTTTTACTCCCTGCAGTCAAATTTTGCTCAGTGCCTGTTTTAATAAATAAAGTTTTATTGGAACACAACCAGACATTCATGCTACAATGGCAGGGTCGAGTGCTTGCAGCAGAAGCTGTAGGGTCTGCTGATCCTAAAATATTTACTGTCTGGCTCTTTATAGAAGAAGTTTCCTGAACCTTGATGTAAACCATTCATCAGCCCTCAAGGGTGAGTATCGCTATCCTCGCTTAACCTCAGGGGCACTGGTGCTCAGAAAGGCTAGTGTTGCTTGTCCATCCCACCGCCCAAAGCATGGTGGGAAGGAACTCAGGTGTTCGATTCCCAAACCCATCGTCATTTGGCCAGACGCCCACAGGATAAAGTCCAAATGTCCAGGCAGGGGTCAGACCCACTTGTCCAACTTCTTCTTCCCGTGTACACGTCTGGCGAGCAACTTTGAGCTCCGTGCGGGCTTCCAACCACGCCGTGCCACGTTCTGCGTCTGCATTTTCGTAAGCTACCCTTCCTTTTCACCAAATCCCTGACCTCTTGCTCTGTCAGTGAAATCCCATCACGACACATCGCAAATCTTCCCACCTCCGTGGAACCTGCTCTTTGTCAGACAGTTAATGAGAACAAGAGCCAACATGACTAGTATGTTCTTTGAGCTGTGGCCTAGGCCAGCCGCTCTGCTCTATGTTCTAGGTGATGACTGTATGACAACCCTGTGAGGTAGGCACTGCTAGTCTCACTGTCTAGGGGCACACATAGGTTGCGAGAGGTTAAGTAACTTGGCCAGGGTCCCAGAGCTAGTGATGTCTGGACCCGGGAATCGGCTCAGGTCTGTCTGATATTCAAGTTCAGCTGTCACGACCATGCTCTACGCAGCGGCCGCCGTCTGCTCGCGCCGCTTCTCCTACAGGCCTGGCTTTACAGCACGTGCTCAGCCTGGTGTGACGGTGCCCATCGGCGGAGGCTGGGAGACGCATCCCTTTACAGCTCTAACCCGGCCCACGGGAGAAGGCCGGAACCTTGCCGGCACCCTGCTGGCACCCTGCCGACCGTGAACTTCATTTTATTGTTCATCCGTATTATTTCAACAGCATTTAGCAATTTGGGGAAACAGGATTTCCCCCAGTTTATTTCTGTTGCTGCTACCATCTGTCTGCCTGAGTGGACCGTGTGCCATCGACAACCCAGGCTCATTCCTGGCTCCGCTCGGTGCTTAGAGTTCGTGTTGGTCACTTGGTCTGCATTTATTACTGTTTAAAAACGCTCTTGTTTCACCCGTAATTAAGTCAAAGTTCATAGCTATGAACAAAAGGTGGGTTAAAAGTAGCAAGAGCAAAATGACATTTTCCCCCGCAGCCCGCCTTCCTCTAGAAAACCCCCCAGTCCTGAGCAGCGATGTGAACCCACACACCCGTGTGGGCTTGCTCAGACTTGAGCAAGGGAAACGTGTCAAACTATCGTTACTCACTGATGAAGGGTAGCAGCAGCGACATCGACGATTCCATCCTGACTGCGCTCTGTTGGCACACATGCTGCGTTTTGGCTGGCGGGAGCTGGGGTGTAGACAGGGTGCAGGCCCTGCCCTCTTGGGGCCCCCGGCCTGCTGCAGCGCGGTGTGATTGGGGATCCTGGGAGAGGGGCCCCCGCCAGCCCGTGGGGTGGGAGGCGCAGGGAAGGGCCCGGGAGAGGGCGATGGAGAGGTGGTGGCCGTGGGCCTATGGTGTCCGCTGGAGCTTGGTGCAGTGCTCAGACTTGTCCCGAGCTTGGTCTGGGACAAGGGACCCAGCGAGGAGCACTCAAACGCAGGTCCCCGGTCCCCAGCCTTCTCCCTGCAGGCTCAGAGTCCCCAGCCATGGTGGGGTGGCCGTCATCTCTGGGGCACACCCACCGACTCCCCGGTCCCTACTGAAGGGGTCTGAAGACCATGGAGAAGTGGATGGTGCATGGCAGCCCTCCCGGCCCCTGTTCCCACCCCTTCCACATCCCTTCTCAGACACCCACACCACGGGCCTCACCCCTTCCACATCCCTTCTCTGACACCCACACCACTGGCCTCACAGGGAGGTCGTTCTCCCCTGGGGATGACACAAACGAACGGTGTAAAGAATCCACTGGCTTCTGTTGCCTTGCGTGTTAACGGAGGTTCCAAACGACTTACCGACGGGATGTATCTGAGCCGCACCATGGAAGGGTCTGGAATTATCGCCCAACTTGACCAGTGATCCATCACATCAGAATTTCTGGAGGAGGACCGGCCAGGAGCTACACTAGCCATCTCAGCTGGGCGTGGCCTGCCAAAAGTCTCCTCCAGGACGCTGGAAGGAACCGGAAGGCCCAAGGTAGAGTCAGGGTTTCAGCAGGCCCAGGGAGAGCCGCATGATGGTCGGCACAGCTCCCGTCAACACCAGCCCTGGAACAACCCTGGGAGGAGCCAGGGAGCTTCTCTTGTTTCTCATCCTGGCTTGTGGCTACTTTGCCGTGAGACCAGAGGCAAGGGGCGTTTGGGCTGGGCGGTGTCCCCTCTGCCTGGTCTCCCTCACCGGATGGAGGAGGACACATGGCATCGTGCACACGGCCATGTTCCGAATGGCTTCTAAGAGCCCTCGGTGCATGCTAGAGAACCATTGCCTCGTGTTCCAGGAGGATGGGAAAGAATGTAGTGACCCGGGTCTGGGCCGGGTCCCAGCTGATGCATAATCCTGTCTCTGGCATCCCTCTGTGGGTTTCCCCTTGGTTTTAGGGGCTGGCGGGGGTGGGCGGCTAAGTGTTTCTTGTTCAGTCTTCCTGGTCCCAGTGATAACAGAGGTTGTGAATTATGGACGCAGCAGCAAATGTTTTTGATCTCCCATGAAACAAAACCAGTGTGTTTCCTGCACCGGGGACCAAGGGCGCGGGAACACGCAGACAGCTGCTCTGATACGGCTAACTCGGGCTGACGTCAATGAGAGCTGGTCCGGGCCAAGGGCTCCACTCAGGAAACTTCAAAGTGATACCGAAAACAAATTTGCATTTTTTCCTTTCACGGGAACTCAGCTACTCTCAGTTCCACCGAGATGTTTTCACCAGCCTCTGCAGCCGGCCAGTGTTGCGGAGTAAACAGGGCTTGCCGTGTGATGGGACGCACTGTGAATTTTCACTTTAGACTTCCCCTTTAAAATTTATGCAGCAGGAGTAATGTTCCCTGGCCCTGGATGAAAACACTGGCAAGTGCTCACTTTTCTGCTCCTCTTAGGAAATAGTCTGTCCTAAGGTCTCTTGAAATGGAAAACAGCCTCCATTTGGAATTTGAACATCCAGGCCAAGATATTAGTCAAAACTGTAAACTTTGACATCTCGTCCTTCTCCCCGCTCCAGCCTTCTCTCCCCTTCCAGACGGCTGGAAGCCTGCGTGGGAAAGGGGGCGTCGCTGCTGGACCCCTGCACCCCACTCCCGCGGCCCCCTCTCCCCCACGGTGGAAGCTAGGGTGGAGGGAGGAGTAGAGGAGAGCTCTTGTTGAGTGCGGGAGTGGCAGGGGGTGGGCTGGCTCTTCTCCCAGTGGGGCTTTTCTGAGCGCCTGTGCGGAGGCGTCCCTCTGCTGGGTGATCACTTTTCCCTCCATCCCTGGGGTTTACCGCCAGCTCCTTGCTCCTGGGGTCCCCGGCCCTCCAGACAGCCCCCATGGGTCACACCCC